AAAATTACATTAATGTATTCAGTTCTTGTACATTGTCATGCGTTGCCCAAAGAAAAAGGTGTCCTGAACTTCCTTGGGTCCATTTGTCAATTAGACAAGGCCCATGACTAGCTTAAAACTTATTCACTTATCATTCCACGAATGCCATTGAGTTTTGACTTTTTATCTATTACCAGGAAAACCTTTCCCTCTTCAATCTCATTGAAATTGGCAGCGTCAAGTTTGTTCCTTCAATCACCTGCATCACTTTCTTTTGGCCTCATCAGTTTTAGTTTCTGTTTTTGGGGAGACAAACAAAACACGTGTTGGAATATCTTTAAGGCATGCATCCTGGCCAACAATGTATCCGGCTAACAAAAACATGATCCAACAGCTATGAAAGGGTTGTAATTGAATACTTTCATCCGTTACAAAAAGAAATGCGTGTGTGTGTGTGCTTTTTAGCTAGAATCAAGCCATTCATTTGTCTAACATCCTGACATTTACACGAAAAGTTAAAGCAACGGAAGCCAGGTAAATGGAAATTTTTGGCAATGAATGGAATTTATTGGGTATTAAAAGTTCATACCCATTGAAGGTACCTGCCACATCTCCATATTGAACCTCATCCTGAACGGGTGGCTATAATAAAACGAAACTTTGTGTAGCATCGGCTTTGTTGATGTTAGCTAAAGCTAAACTTTTGATGGTGTGTTGAAGAGCGATAGACCGGTGTAAATGAAGGGAAATCTGTGACACTTTGAAGACAACAAAAGATCATAAATAAGACATAAAGTCTGGGCAAATGGAGGTTTTTCAATGTATCGGCATTGAAAAGCTGAGATACATTTTATAATACAATTTGGTTTGGATCATTTTTGTTTGGTGAAAAGGTGAAAATTTCGTGGAGGGGTAGTAAAAACATTTAATTAAATAGACGAAACTGAGACTCATAAATTCGACTTTTGTTATTTACACTTTGTTATACTCAGTTGAAAATGAAATAAATCGAGGAGGCCTTTCCCAGAAAAGAAATGAAAATGTAGAATATACACCTGGGAAAAATGTATTTCCGAACCCGCAAGACTTTGTACTTCAAAAATATGCTGTGTTGTGAATTACCTCTCCCACAATTTATCTTGTGTCATGCTAATATCTGGTGGACTCATAACAGTTTAACTCGCATATTGATCTGTTAGGGACAACTTTGAATTATGGTGAGAGGGGGATCTTCGCTATGAGCTCACATTATCTACTAAAATTCACAGAACACTTTTAGGCGCAAATTGATATAGGAAATCGCCAGATCCAAGGTACAATTAATAAAAGTTAAAAAATAATAAATGTTTAACAAAATGCAGTTCACATTTATTATCCGATTGTGATGAAATCTTGCAAACAATATTTGTTTGGTCCAAGGACGAACCGTATTAAGATTGGTGATAATCGGATAAGATCTAGATATAGCTCCCACATATCTCCAACCGATTTCGGGTTAATTGTCCACCAATATAAGTCCAAATGAATTGTATTTTGGTACATCAGAATCTTTTCATCCGATTTGGGGTTTTAAGTCCCTCCAATGCGTAATATGCATTCCAGAAGAATGATATTTGGTATCGGGCATCAGATACTGCTCGAAAATACAAACATAACATTATCTAATATCAGATTTATTGTGAACCAAATGGCTAATGTCAGCCCAAATGGACTGAATTTTGGCATTTACGACTGAATCCCATAAACCAGCACTTCAAATTTTGTGTAAATCGGTCAGGTACAGCTATAGCTCTCATATATATGTTTTATCCGATTTAGGGTTAAAGTGCCTCACAAGCGTAATATGCATTCGGCAACAATGATATTTTTTTACCAGATATCTTATAGAGCTCGGAAATACATCTGCCAAATTTTATCAAGATCGGTTCTGATTTGGATATAGCTCCCATATATATCCTCAACCGATTTCGGGTTACTTGTGCACCAAATAGCCAATATCCATCCAGATGAACCGGATTTTTGGCATATTCGATCGAATTCAGTCTAGAAGCAAGGTTGGCACTAAAAAATACCAAAGTGTCGGTCACGTCAAGCAAGCGCTTCGCCGGGAATGGGTCGAAATACTACAGAGCAACATTCGGGCAGCGTGTGACGGTTGCAATGGCCGTTTGAAGGCCATAATTCGTGCCAAAGATGACCAATTCGAACAAATCTAAACTTATTTAAAAATTTGATGCTATTTCCGACATTTTTACTTTCATTAAATAAAATTAAAAAAAAATGTAAAAATTATGGCGTTTGACTTTGTTGCAATTGTTAGGTTTAAACTTCACACATCGTTGTATTTCTACGATACTTAAATTTTATTGAAAATTCTAAAATTTTATAACATTTTAAAAAAGTCTAGATATGAAAAAGTAGTCCCGTTTGGAGGCGAGTTCACTTTTTTGTCCAGTTTTTTTAATCTTTTTAAGATAATACAAACCTTGAATTTTTCCATTTAAAACTTTTGTGTGGGTTTCCACATAGGGTAAGTGCGCATAAGTTCGGCATGTCCCAGTAGTCGGCAATTTTTAAAATTTAAACTTTAATAACTAAGAATAGAATTGACCAAATAATGAAATAATTGCAAAAAAACGTCAACAGTGATTTTTGCTCTCTTTCTGTAAAAGAACAATAAGCTCCGATCATTTATTACGAGAGAATAACGGTTTTCGTCAGTGAGTGTCTTCCAACGCATGCGATAGTGCTTGTTTGTAAAGAAAAAAATAGTAGTGGTGTCAACTTAATAATCGATTTAAGTAAATTAAATTTAATACTTTTGGAATCAGAAATATTTTATTAAAGTAAATAACAGTCTAAAGATTATTTTATAACTTAAACAATTTACAAATCAAGCATTTATCTGTTATATTATTTAATGCCGACAATAGGAACAGAAAACAAGTTAAAAAGCAGTAAGTTCGGCCGGGCCGAACTTTTAATACCCTCCACCATTTGCAACGAATTTGGAAATTTTCAAAAAATAAAATCCTTAAAAAATTCTGTTAAAATTTTAAAAATACCGAATATAGCCGTTATTTTGGGGTCTATACGACGTGGACATACATAGGCATTGTTTGTCATAAGCCATTACCATATTCAAATTCGAAACTTGAAATAAACGGTGAATAATGTAGCTAAAATCATCTAAATACCGAATATAGGGAGGTACCGTTATATGGGGGCTATCCGAAGACCTGGACCCGCACAGACAATTTTCTGTCACAGACTGTAGTTCCCATAACGAACTTCAAATACCAATTTTAAAACAATTCCGGTGAATAATGTCGCTAAAATCATCAAAATACCGAATATAGGGAGGTACCGTTATATGGGGGCTATATGAAGACGTTGACCTGCACAGACAATTTTCTGTCTTAGGGTGTAGTATCCATTTTGAACTTCAAATACCAAATTTGAAACAATTCCCGTGAATAATGTCGCTAAAATCATCAAAATACCGAATATCGGGAGGTACCTTTATATGGGGGCTATACGAAGACGTGGACCTGCACGGATAATTTTCCGTCTTAGGGTGTAGTATCCATTTTGAACTTCAAATACCAAATTTGAAACAATTCTCGTGAATAATGTCGCTAAAATCATCAAAATACCGAATATAGGGAGGTACCGTTATATGGGGGCTATATGAAAACGTGGACCTACATGGCCCATTTACGAACTTAACCTGCCTACTGGAAAAATAAACATGTGTGCAAAATTTTAGCCACCTATCTCAATTCATTCGAAAGATAGCGTGATTACAACAGACAGACAGACAGACGGACAGACAGACAGACAGACAGACGGACGGACAGACAGACAGACGGACATCGCTAAATCGACTTAGAATTTTACGCTGATCAAGAATATATATACTTTGTTGGGTCTGATATGAGTATTTCGAGGAGTTACAAACGGAATGACAAAGTTAATATACCCTCCATAGTATGGTGGAGGGTATAAAAGAGATTTGCCAGTAGTCGGCAGGGGGTGCCGATTACTAGAAAAATATAATTTTTGACCCATTTCACCAAAACTTGAGAAAATTATTAAAAAATTATCCAAAAACTACACAAATAAAAAAATATTTTTGTGTCGGCAGTTGTTTCTTTGTGCTTTTTGATCAACTTTTCTAAATTGAGTAAGTTTCTTAAATCAGCTATTTGACGTTTTAGATAGCGGTGGCATATTTGAAGAAAGGATAGACATCAATTCACAAATTCTAAATATAAGAAAGGTACTTTTTTCTTTTTTATTTAATATCATTTTTATTTTAATTGAAAATCCATACGTTACTGAAGGTAACCATACTATTCTTGATTTTCTACCTATATTTTGTTTAGAATGATAATTAAATAAAACACTATTTAAAAACGAAATTAATTAATTGAACTGTGAATTAGTAATATAGCATTGTTTTATACTATTAGAAATAAAAAAAATACAAAATAATATTTTTTTTTACTGAAATACTATATGCCGACTACTGGCAAATAGACATACCGAGGATTGGAAAATGGTGCCGACTACTGGCAAAAAAACTACTATTTTAGTAAAATTTCAAATTTTGCCAATTTAATAAAAACTAATTTAATTTTTGTTTATTATTTCGAAAAGTAAACAAAATTTGGAATCTGAACCACTTTATTTTTCTGCAATTAAAAGATTTCACTCAGAATGTTGAAAGATTGAAACATTGAAAATTCTAAAAGTGCCGACTACTGGTACACTTTCCCAATTTATATATTTTGATAGATTTCCTAAAAAAAGTAGAAAAAATGTATTCGATCTAAAAATAATCAAGTTCCTATTGTCCCCTTCCTTAAAAATAAGTAAAATGTTATTTAAGGCCCTGCCATTTTAAATTCAATAAACAAAATGTCCAATAAAATTTCAATCCATTTATTTTCTTTTTTTTAACATTAAAATAGATTAAAATTCGAGAAAAATACAATTAATTATTTTACACTTATGCAGTTGTCGGCTCTTAGAGAATTTTGTTCGCCAATGAACCACATAACATTACTTGCAATTTTTTTTATTAAAAAAATGGAATTTTCTTACAAAACTAAATTGTATGTGTTCATTTGGGTGTGTTCGGGTGTTGTTTCGACTTTATCGTTTGTTCCACTTACAGGTTGTTCTGAAAACTATTTAAATTTCATAAAACTTTGTTTGTTTCTTTATTTCGGTAGTAGCTTAAAAAACCAAATATCTAATATAGAATTACATTTGCTTTGTACAAAGTCCGTTACCATTTATGCGGAAGTAAGACTTCCAATTCGTTGGAAAATACTTTTGCTTTCACTTAGGGGCTAACACAACTACTACACATGAAGGTATGAATGTGTGTGTGTATGTATGTATGCATGTATTTCTGTATAAATATATCTATAGTTTCAAATGCAAATATCAATTCTGGTGTAAGAGTTTCGAGTTCACTTTTGCCTTGCCATGAATGGAAACTGGAGTAGAACAAGGTATTGAGTATCCAATTAATTCGAATATTACGGCGTTTTTTGTTCCAACTTGCAAACCTTATTGCAAAGTTTCCTGTTTAGCCAGACCACACCATTAATTTCCCTCATCATCATTTCGGGGCCGGCGATTGCTCTACAATCGTGGACTATCTATCACTGTTTGAACGGTACAACTGTTTACCCGGATACTTGAATTACCAGCCAAGCATAAATTTCCATTTTGTGGCGGTGAACGCTTGCGTCGAAATCTTTTGCCACCACCACTGCCGCCACCTCCGCCCCGACCTCGGCCAATAATGCCACACCATTGCATACCCTTGAATGTGTCGAGAAAAGCTCGTCGAAAATTGGCATTCATGAAACAGTAGGTGATCGGATTACAGCAACTCGATGAGTAGGCGAGCAACTGTAATGCACTTATCGATTTGTAATCGATGTATTCGTATATGGCCGAACCGATGTACATGGCCACCGTGTTGATGACATACAGCGGCGTCCAGCAGATGAAGAATTCCAACACCAATACAGATAACATTTTGACGACACGTTTTTTACTTTCGAGATTTTTGGCCATGTTGTTTCTGCAAAAAAAGAAAAAAGGAGAACAGAAGGTTGGTGAGTACTATTGTTCAAGGAGAGAAGGGATTTGAGCTTTAAGTTAAATGGTATTTAAAGGGATTTTTAAACCCTTTACCATACATATTTTGGAGGGTATATTAAGTTTGTCATTCCGTTTGTAACTCTTCAAAGTAAGAATTTTAGACCCCCAAAGTATATGTATTGTCGATCAGCATAATGTCCGTCCATCTGTTCGTCTGTGGAAATCACTCTAGCTTCGGAACGAAATGATGTAGGTTGATAAATTTTCGTCGAGATGAATTTTAGGTCCGTAGTTCTGTTGGTATTGAAAATGTGACATATATGCCCATATTTTTATATAGCCCCTATATAACTATACCGGCGAATTGTAGGTGTTTTGCTTGTTTTTGCCACAATTTAAAACTGAATTTGCTATAAATTGGGAGTATGTATTCCCTATGTGTAGGAAACATCTTTGCCAAGAACTGTCCATATAGATCCAAGGTTAGGTATGAATCCCACATTCATGTTTAGGCATGGACTCTATATCGGGAGTATTCAGTATTTTGTTGATTTGTGTCACATTTTTCACCGGAACGGCATCAAATTTGGTATTTGAAGTTTGTAATGGATACTACCTTCACTGACAGAAAATTGTGTATATATAGGTCCATGTTTTTGTATTACCCCTTTATAACGGTACCTCCTATTAGTCGGTATTTTGTTGATTTTAGCTACACTTTTCACCGAATTTATTTTCAAATTTTTTATTTAAAGTTCGCTAATGATTTGTTTTGACGGAAAATTTCCTATGTCTTTGTATAGGCCCCATATAACGGTACCTTCCGATTTTTGGTATTTTGAAGGTTTCTGCCACAATTTTTAACAAAAAATAGGTAAAACTTTGCAATTGAGGTTCTTGGTAGGTACGTTCTCTCCCTGCGAGAGATATTCAATTCAGGTTTGGTATGGCTCCCATATAACTGTACCTCTTGATTTTCGGTATTTTAAGCGTTTCTGCCACAATTTCCAGCCAAATTAGATAAAACTTGGCATTTAGGGTTCTTGATATATCTGTTCTTTTCTTGCAAAAAAAAAAATCGATTCAGGTCCACTAATGCCTATAGCCCACATATAATCAAGAACCTTCCGATTTTCGGTATTTTGAAGGTTTCTGCAACAATTTCTTACCAAATTAGATGAAATTTAATAATTGAGGTTCTTGGTAGGTACGTTCTCTCCCTGCGAGAAATATTGAATTCAGGTTCACAATTTTTGGTATGGCTCCCATATAACTGTGCCTCCCGATTTTCGGTATTTTAAGCGTTTCTGCCACAATTTCCAACCAAATTAGATGAAACTTCGAAATTGGGGTTCTCGGCAAGTCTGTTCTTTCCTTGCTAAAAATTTTCGCTAACGGTCAACTAATTGTTATAGCCCCCATATAACAGTGCCTCCCAATTTTAGGTATTTTGACGATTTATGTCACAATTTTTAACCAAATTAGATAAAACTTGGCAATTTGGGCTCTTAGTAGGTATATTCTCACCTTGCAAAAAATATTCACTACAGGTCCACAAGTTGACCATGTAACGCTACCTCCCGATTTTCGATATTTTTAAAGTTTCTCCCACAATTTCTAACCAAATTAGATGAAACTTGACATTTGGGACTCTTGGTAGCTTTATTATCTCCTTTCGAAAAATGTTCGATTCAAGCCCATTAGTTGGTATAGTACCCCCCCCCATATAATTACACCTCCCGATTTTCGGTTTTTTGAAAGTTTCTGCCACAATTTTCAAACAAACTTGACAATTGGGGTTCTCGGTAGGTATGTTAACTCCTTGCGAAAAATATACGCTACAGGTCCACTAATTGGTATAGCCCCATATAACAGTACCTCCCGATTTTTTGTATTTTGAAGGTTTTTGCCACAATTTCCAACCAACTTAACTGAAACTTGACATTTGGAGTTCTTGAAAGGTTTGTTGTCTCCTTGCGAAAAATGTTCGACTCAGGTCGAATAATTAGTATAGGCCCCGTATATAGTATCTCCCGATTTTCGGTATTTTAAAAATTTCTGCCACAGTTTTCAAGCAAATTAGCTAAAGCTTGATATTCGTAGTTCTCGAAAGGACTGTTCTCTCACAAAAAAAAAAAAAAAAAAAAAAAAATTAATAAATATTCATTACAGGTCCCCTATTTGCTATAGCCCCATATAACGAACTCCCGATTTTCGAAATTTTGTCACAATTTCCAATCAAATTAAATGATAATATGGGTTTCACATTTTGGGTTATTTTTGTACCTCAGCTATATGGCTATCATTTAATACGTTCATAACATACGAGATGGACATAACGGTTTTAGACCCTAGGTCTCTTTGGAACCAAACCGCTTTACGATGTTTGGTATCGATCTAGGGTATCCGTCCGTCTGTCTGTCTGGCTGGTGCACACGATAACTCTCGAAGGGTTTATCTGATTCGGTCCAAACATATTATCAAAATTAGTTCGAGTTCGGAGATGGGTTATATCAGTCCACTCATTCTGGTAGCTCCCCCCACAAAAAGCACTACCTCCGGTACCTACCACACGACGGGTCAAAAATTTGAATAACCACGAAACTTGGAAAACCCGAAATAATCATCCGATTCCTCCCAAACTTGGCACACCATAATATTTCTATTAACACAAGATCTGCTGGGAAGATGGAATATATCGGCCCTCTCCTTCTGGTACCTCTCCCACAAAGGGTCAAAATTTTGAATAGCCATGGAGCACGTAAAACGCGAAATGAGCATCAGATTTCATTCAAACTCCGCACATCTCAATACTTCTATTAATCCAAGATCTGTGCTGAAGATGGGATATATCGGTCCACTCCTTTTGGCACAGACCCCCCCCCCACAACGGGTCAAAATTTTGAATAGCCATGAAGCTCATAAAACGCGAAATAAGTATTGAATTCCTTTTAAACTACGCACATCTGAGTATTTCTATCTACACAAGATCTACTGTAAAGATGGGATATATCGATCCACTCCTTCTGGTACCTCCCTTCACAACGGGTACAATTTTTTTTAATAAATGTCACTCTTATAATATGTGAAATAAGATTCCGGTTGTCTTCAAAGTTTACACATCCCAATATTTCTATCAACCCACGATATCTTGTAAAAATAGCAGATATCGGTCGACTCCTTCTGATACTTCCCCCCAGAATGGGTCAAAATTTTGAACAGCCATGAAGCTCGTATAACGGGAAATGAGATTCCGATTCATTTCAAACTCGTAATTTCTCAATATTTCCATTAACAAAAGATCTCTTGGGATGATGGTATATATAGGTGCACTCCTTCTGGTACCTCTACCACTAAGGTTAAAATTTTTTAATATTCACGACTCTCGTAAAACACGAAATAAGCATCCAAATCTATTCAAGCTCGGCAAATTTTTGGCTCAGTCATACTTATATTACCCCCCTTCACAGATTGGCTTAGGCAAAAGATTCAATTCTTGTACCATAGTATCTACTTATTACCTTGGCTAAACCTAATTTCGATTTACTATGTAGAAGTGTTTTCGTCACAGCACATTCCCCGCTATGATGGCTTACAATTTAATAGCGTAAACTAAATTATTCGTATTATTCCCTTTTATATACTCCACTAACTACATACACACAACATCTCTTCACGACAAATTCCCAACATTGTAAAACAATGTAGCATCCAAGCCCTCTTTATCCAAGTTGCCATCATTAAACGTTTGAGACTATTCAAGTCATTTCCACAACTCCTTAAAGTATGCTTTAAAAACAATTCTGCTCACTATTCGTATTTATATGAGCAATTTCATGCTCAGCTACCTACCTTCTTAATACTGAATCGGAAGATCGTAAATTACGTTTACTGCTGCTGAAAAACTTTTTAACACCGCCACCAGCTGCCCCCACCAAAATCTCACCCCCTTTGCTGCTGCTGCCATACAGATCCGAATGGCTTACTTGTTGAACGTAATTATTTCGCATGCCATTGTAGGGATGATGCTGATAATGATGGTAGTGTTGCTGATGCATTTGATAGCGATACGAGGAGTACGTGGCCGATGATGAAGCCACTAACGAAGATGCGGAGGTTGAGGGCAAATTGGCCACGTTGCTGGGGGCTGAGCTGGTGCCACAGCAACCCAAGGGTCCAATGGTATTGTTAGCGGCCGCTCCAAGGCCAGAGCCGACACCAACACCACTGCCGACACCACCGCCACCACTACAACTACTGCTGCTGCAACATTCCGATGTACAATGACTTGAGGTTGCATTTATTGAATCATTGTCCGGAGGCACTGCCCGCAGCGTGGCAAAGCGCATGCAATAGAGATGGCGTCGACCATTGTTGGTGCTGCTCGCTGACGAGTTTGTGGGCCGTTTGCCACAACAAAAGCGTGAAAAGTTATCTGCAATAAAAAGAAGAAGGAAAAGAGTAAGAAGAAGATCGAATAAAATTAACATTGCTCCTCTGCGCTGCAATGGTAATTTAAATGGAAATTTTGTTGAATTTGTTTTCATTCGAATTGGCAGTGCTTAAGCTAAAATGTGGTTTATCAAAGATTCATGGGCTATTTAGAGGCAAATTTATAACCCGAAATGGGTTTCTAATGAATGCAAATGATGAAGGATGAAATCGAAGACAGTTGGACAGTTAATATTGAAATTCTGCGATAAATGCGTTGTTATGATTTTTTTTGGATTTTTGATTTCATGAAATATTGAATATTGATGACCTACCCTTTGCAAAGAAAATTGATTTGAGGGAATATCCACATTATTGGCAATGGAAGGATAATAGGAAAATATTTTGAAGGCCTAGATTATCAAAAAAAAAAAAAAAAAAAAAACAAGAGAAATTAAGTTTTAATCAAAAGTCAAAAGTCGGGCGGGGCTACATGTAATAAACGTTTATATTGAGAATTTCTGTGATTTGGATCGTACCAATATTAGCTTTAGAGCAGTTATATTTTGGAATCATAGGGAAATCGTATATGGGATGTATATTCAACTGTGATTCGTACCAAATAACTTTGCCATAGAGTTCATAATATGACTTCGAGAATATCTAAATCTGAAGCGATCACGATAAAATTCGGCAGAGATATTTCAGAGATGTTCTGGAGTGCATATAACAAACAAATCGGATGAAACATATAATTGAGAGTTATAGCTATGTCTGAATCGATTTCCATCAAATTTGAATAACATGCTGTTTGGACGAGTGTTACACATATAGAGCACAATAAAATAGAAATCGGTCGAAAATATATATAAGGGGCTATATCTAAATTTGGACCCTTTTTCGCCAATTTCGATAGGGTCCATCCTTAGCCCAAATGAGATGTAGGAAAAGTAATTTCAATCAGACAATAAATGCGACCTGTTTGTAAAAAAAAAACAGGTAAACAGTTGTATGCTCGGTTGGGCCGAACTTTGAATACCCTCCACCATTTGGAACGAATTTGGCAAATTTCAAAAAAATAAAATGCATTCAAAATCCTTTTAAAATCTTAAAAATACTGAATATAGCCTTTATATTAGATTCTATACGACGACGTTGATCTGCATAGACAACCTTTGTCATAAGCCATTACAATAATAAAATGAGAATCTGGAAAAAAATCGGTGAATAATGTCGCTAAAATCATCAAAATACCGAATATCGGGAGGTACCGTTATATGGGGCTATACGATGACTCGGACCTGTACAGACAGTTTTCTGTCTAAGGCTGTAATATCCATTACGAACAACAAATACAAAATTTTAAACAATTCTGGTGAATAGTGTTGCTAAAATCATCTAAATACTGAATATCATAGGCAAATTTCGAATGTAGCTTAAATCACCAAAATGCCGAAAAAGGGAGATACCATTATTAGGGTGGCTATACCAAAGCATAGACCTACATGGCCCAGTTTGAATACCAAAAGTCCTGCAGACATAATACACAGGAAATTGAGGACTTTTTTTATTAACCTACTTCATTTCGTTCAGAAGCTAATTTCCACAGACCGGCAGACGGACGCACATAGCTAAATCGACATAGAAATTTATGCTGATCAATAACAAACAGGGTGAGATGAAAAATTGCAACCAACTACAGACTACTGTCATTTCTAAGCCACTCGTCCGACAGCTGTTATAATTATTCCATTGATAGCTCATTATATTGTTTACAAGCGTACAAAAGCATTTCGATGAGAATTTTCCTGAAAAAAAGTGATTTGTAATGGAATTCAAGCGTGATAGTGTGATTTCTTTATATTTTGCTGGATAACCACAAGTGGCTATCGTTAGAGCACTCCAGTACTTAAATGTGAATAAATATTTTGTGGCTCGTATCATCGCTCTATCGCTCGTTACTGGTAGCCTAGCCCGATGTCAAGGAAATAGACGAAAGAAAACAGCAACATTAGCAGAAACGGTTTGAAGGGTAAAGAAGCCACTTGATTGAAACCCGCGTCGCAGTGGCCGAAAAATGGCTCGTGAGCTAAACATATCGCAATATTCCATTCGGCAAATATTGAAAAATGAGCTCGGGGTAAAGCCATTGAAATTCCAAATGGAGGAAGAACTTACACCGCAACAGAAATGAAGTAGACTCGCTTGGCCGAAACTGGTGAACTGCCGAATTTGGTTTTCTCCTCTCCGATGAGAAAACATTCGTTGTCAAGAAGTTTGTAAACAAACAAAATGATCGTGTTTACTTGCCACAGAGGTCAGCTGAAAATGTGCACCTTCGGTTGGCCACCAGAACTCAAGCGCCAGCCATGGTGATTGTGTAGGCTGATGGTCGCTCGCCGCTCGTATTAATCGACCATTCATTTCCAGCGCACAATGGCCACCAAAATCTTCGGATACCAATCCGGTGGACTATTGTGTCTGGAGTATTTTGGTAAGCAAGTTTGGCACTATAAAATACCAAAGTGTCGATCGCCTCAAGCAAGCGCTTCGCCGGGAATAGGCCAAAATACAGCAGAGCAACATTCGGACAGCGTGTGGCGGTTCCATTGACACTTTGAAGGCCATTATTCGTGCCGAAGGTGACCAATGCGAACAAATCTAAACTTATTCTAAAATTTGATGCTATTTCCGAAATTTTTGGCTTTCATTAAATAAAATTAAAAAATAGAAACAAATTATGGCGTTTGATTATATTGCAGTTTTTTATATCACCCTGTATTTGCATAGTAAACTTGAAATCGGATTAAGGATATATGTAAAAATCTTAACCGACTTCAATAAAATTTGGCAAAGGTATTTTCGAGCTCAATAAGATATCTGGTATCAAATATCATTGTTGTGGAGTGCGTACTACAAATGTGAGGGACTTAAAGTCCAAATCGGATGAAATATATATGGGAGCCATATTTATATCCGAACCGTTTTTAACAGTTTTGTGGTCCTTGCTTCAACGCTAATTAAATATATATATGGAAACTATATCAAAAACTGAACCGATCTCGATAAATTTTCGCAAAGATATTTCTGAGCTGTATTTGATATATTTCTCACAATATCATTCTTAAGGAGTGCATACTACGGATGTGGAGGAAAATTTTAACAAATCGGATAAAGAATATAATTGGAAAATGTAGCTATATCTGAACCGATTTCCACCAAATTTGACACACTTGTTTCTAGGCCTAATTTGGTTTTATAAGGCAAATTCTATATGTATGGGAACTTTATTTAAATTTAGACCGGTTATCTTCAATTTCAATAGGGTTCGTCTTTGAGCCAAACAGATATTGTTTGGAAAATTTCATTTCAATCGGACAATAAATGCGACGTGCATTTTTTTTTCACAAGAATACATGGACGGACGAACTGACATACAAAAATCGACTCAGAAAATGATTCTACGAAGATCCTCAAAATTAACTATGGTCTATCTTGCTTCCTTTTCCATTTTACAAACAAAAGCACAAATATAAAAAGTAATTCATTTTTCTTTGTATTATTATTTTCAACGTATAGGTCATACAGAATCCTCCCCTCTCCACCACCAAACTCTGATAAGGGGCTCACCTTTTAAAACTTATTTGATCAACGTGACGTCAGTGATGTCGTGCAAAGAAAAATATTATATATTTTGTCGAATGGCGCCCTTCGGCTTGCAATGAACACGAAATGAGAAGAATAATTTTCCAATGAAACTACACAACGTTTTAAAACAGTTATCTTTGTTTGTCGCCGAACAATAACTTCATAATTTGTAGTTGATTTATTTCAATGAATGCTGCAAATTCCAAATACACTCACTATACATCTCACACTTCCCGATTGCATGCCAGCGGCTAAAGTGTGACAGTAAATTACTTTATGAATACACACCGCGACGGCAATTACAATTACAATTTAGATTATATTGGCCAATTCAAAACAGATGTCACTCTTTGATGATTTTTTTAATATGCCTTGCATTACAACAATAATTTGCTGCGGCCAGAGGAAAATTATTGATAGACAGTTAGACAGACGGGCTTGCCAGGCCAGGCCAGGCCAGACTATCTGCCTAGTTATCAGCGTGCAGTTTTGTTTTGTATGCACTTCGCCGTCTGATGACGGGAGATAACATGAACGCTGTCGTGAGAAACGCAGTAATCTGTTATTATTTCTTTATTAAATTATAGACTTACAAAGTGGGCATTTTATCAGTTGTTACCGGGCAGTGCGAATGTAAAGATCTTGTCGGAATTTAAAATAAAAACAAAAAATACAAACAATAAGTTGTTCGAAAAATTCCTATAAAAATGTTGATGCTATTAATTGCAAGTGTTTTCCTTTCGATTTTTGTCTACTTTGCCTGGAAAGGCTCATATTGGCAGCGACATGGTGTCCGAGGACCTCGTGGCTGGCCTTTGGTTGGCAATATGTGGTCCTTTATTACGGGACGACAACATTATGGCGATGTCTATCAGCAAATTTACAAGTGAGACCGGCACCGATAACCCACCCCTAAAGAGTTGGACACTTACGAAGTAATTAATTCCATTTTATTTTTCTCGTCTTCAGCGCTTATCCGGAATTACCTTACATTGGCATCTATCGCCTGTTCGGTGAACCGGCAATTTTATTACGCAGTTCGGAGATGATAAAAGAGGTGATGATACGTAATTTTCAACATTTCCAAGATAATGTCTTGTGGGTTAATCCCGAACGTGATCCAGTTGTGACCTGCAACCCGTTCATAGCCAAGGGGGAAAAATGGCGTACAATGCGTAATGAGCTGGTACCCATCTTTACACCGAACAAGGTAGGTAGCCAAAGGGAGGGTTGGAATTTGTTCATTAAAATGACATGCACAATTAATTGGATCGTTTCGTTCGATGTTCGTGACAGGTGAAATCGTCATTTCCACATATTGAAAATGTTTGCCGGAAATTGATGGCGCATGTTAATGAAAATATGAAAACTAATTGCTTCGAGGCAAAGGATGTGAGTATTGCAATTACAATATATGAATATGGTATTATTTTGGGAATTTTTGGCATGCAAAGGGGTAGAAAAAGAAAAAAAAAAAGAAAAAGACGAAAATGGCAGTTTATTGCAATGGGGCGACCAGTAGTTATTATAATTATGCAACTTATTATTAGGGTCATCCTGGGAATTTTAGACTTCACGGGGTACGAAATACAATGAAAATTTCAATATTGTATTTGGGCTAGAATTTTCCAATTGTATTACATGAGAATCAACCATTGTATAGAGATAATACGATAAGATAAACAAGTTAAAAAGCAGTAAGCTCGGCGGGACTGAACTTTGAATACCCTCCACCATTTGGAAACAAATTTTGAAATTTTCAAAAAATAAAATCCTTAAAAAATTCTGTTAAAATTTTAAAAATACCGAACATAGCCGTTATATTGGGGTCTATACGACGTGGACCTACATAGGCATTTTTTGTCACAAGCCATTACCATATTTAAATTCGAAACTTGAAATAAACGATGAAGCTAAAATCATCAAAATATGGTATATAAGGAGGTACCGTTATATTGGAGCTGTGCGAAGACCTGGACCAGCATAGACAATTTTCTGTCACAGGCTGTAGCATCCAATACGAACTTCAAATACGACAACTCACATAATTTCGGTGGGTTTTGTACCTAAAATCATCAAAATACCGAATGTAGGGAGGGAGGTCTTAGGGTGTAGTATCCATTTCTAACTTCAAATATCAAATTTTAAACAATTTCGTTGAATGTTGTCGCTAAAATTATCAAAATACCGAATAAAGGGAGATATCGTTATATGGGGGCTATACGAAGACGTGGACCTGCACATACAATTTTCTGTCTTAGGATGTAGTATCCATTTCGAACTTTAAATACCAAATTTGAAACAATTTCGGTGAATAATGTCGCTAAAATCATCAAAATACCGAATAAAGGGAGATATCGTTATATGGGGGCTATACGAAGACGTGGACTTGCACAGACAATTTTCTATCTTAGACTGTAGTATTCATTACGAACTTCAAATACCAAATTTGAAACAATTCCGGTGAATGATGTCGCTAAAATCATCAAAATACCGAATATCGGGAGGTACCGTTATATGGGGGCTATATGATAACTTAGACCTACATGGCCCATTTACGAACTTAACCTGCCTAATGGCAAAATATACATGTGTGCAACATTTCTCTCAATTTGTTCGAAAGATAGCGTGATTACAACAGACATACAGACGGACGGACAGACACACAGACAGACAGACGGACATCGCTAAATCGACTTAGAATTTTAAGCTGATCAAGAATATATATACTTTGTTGGGTCTGACATGAGTATTTCGAGGGGTTAAAAACGGAATGACAAAGTAAATATACCCTCCATAGGATGGTGGAGGGTATAACAAAATTGTTGCTTAAGGGGCATTTAAAGTACGAAAAAGTACAAAATGGCACAATGTCGGTAAGTGTTAATATGGTCGGTATTTTTATACCCATAGCCATAATTTGATACGGCCAAAAAGGTGTCTCATCGAAATAAAGGTTTTAGAAACTAGGTATCTTGGACCAAGTACATTTCGGGCATTTGGAGTCGATCAAGGGGTGTCCGTCCGTCCATCTATCTTGCTGGTTCACACGATAACTCTCAAAGGGAATATCCAATTCGAACCAAAATTGGTAAATCGTGATATTATGTTGTCAAATTTGGAGATGAACAACATCGGCCCACTTCTTCTGGTACCTCTCCCACAAAAGCTCAAAATTTTCACGGTAAATAATTGACCTCATATAAAGGTAAAGGATCATTCGATTTTACGGAAAACTTTGCAAATCCCAATATTTTTTTGTCAGTGATTCAATTTTTTTATTGTCTTCAAATTTTAACATCTCAATATTTCTACTAAAATAAAAGCTGAAAAGTGAATATTAGATACATCGGCCTATACCTTCTGATACCTCCACCACAAAGAGTCACATTTTTGAATAAGCTAAACTTGCATAAAATTCGAAATAAACATCCGATTCATTCAAAACTTCAGACGTCCCAATATTTTTACTAACGAAAGATCTGGTATGAAAATAATATATATCGATTCACCCCTCCTCGTACCTCTCCCAATATATTAAAATATATGGATAGTGTCTGAGGGTGTACAGGGTGAGATGAAAAAATTGCAACCAACTTCAGACTGCTGTCATTTCTAAGCCACTCGCCCGACAGCTGTTTAAATTATTCCAGTGACAGCTCATTATATTGTTTAAAAGCGAACAAAAGCATTTTGGTGAGAATTTTCCAGAAAAAAATTATTCGTGATGGAATTCAAGCGTGATAGTGTGATTTCTTTATATTTGGCTGGAGAACCACATGTGGCTATCGTTAGAGCACTCCAGCATTTAAATGTGAATAAATCTTTTGTGTCTCGTACCATCGCTCGTTACTGTGATACTTGTAGCGTAGTCCAACATCAAAGAAAGTGGAGGGAAGAAAACAGCAACACAAGCAGAAATGGTTCGAAAAGTTAAGAAGCGACTTGATCGAAACCAGCGTCGAAGTGGCCGAAAAATGGCTCGTGAGCTGAACATATCGCAATATTCCATTCGGCAAATATTGAAAAATAAGCTCGGGGTAAAGCCATTGAAATTCCAAAAAGTGCAAGAACTTACACCGCAACGGAAAAAATTGACTCAAAAGAGCTAAAGAGTTGCTTCGCTTGGCCGAAAGTGGTGAACTGCCGAATTTGTTTTTCTCCGATGAGAAAACATTCGTTGTTCAGCAGTTTGTAAACAAACAAAATGATCTGCTCGTGTTTACTTGCCTAGCTGAAAATGTGAATCTTCGGTTGGCCACCAGAACTCAAGCGCCGGCCATTGTGATGGTTTGGGCCGCCATAACAGTCGATGGTTGCTCTCATCTCATATTAGTTGACCGTGGCATCAGAATAAATGCCTTATATTATCGCGAAAATATTCTGGAGGGTGTATTAAAGCCTTGGGCATGCAAACATTTTGGCCGTAGACCTTGGACATTCCAACAGGAGTCACCACCATCAAACTCAGCACGCGCCACCCAAGAGTGGTGATAAAATGAGGTTCCTCGCTTCATTTCCAGCGCACAATGACCACCAAAATCTCCAAATACCAACCCATTGGACTATTGTGTCTGGAGTACTTTGGAAAGCACGGTTGACACTCAAAATACCAAAGTATCGATCACCTCAAGCAAGCGCTTCGCCGGGAATGGGCCAAAATACCACAGAACAACATTCGGGCAGCCTGTGACTTTGACCGTCATACTGAAATATGACATCTATGTACATTTAAGATTTCCTTAAATTCTCCGCCATATGAGGGAGTTTTCAAGAGGGAGGTGGTCAGTATAGTGCATTGTTCTGCATAGTAATGAGTTTGGGGACGTTTAATGAAAGAGAAAATTTTGACCTGTACGGATTGTACCCATTATATTATGACTAGTCAAAATGTTGGCTATTTATAGAAAAGGTAAGGCAGAGGAAATGAGCCTATATTTCCTTGCTTGGTAAAAAAAAAACGATTTGGAACAATAAAGGTTTTCGAAAAGTTTTTTGAGATTCATTTTCGACCGGTCCATTTTCACATTAATTTTGCTTATCAGTGACTGAGTGTTATGCAAGTATTGGGGATTTTTATAACCTCCAGCATAATTTGGAGGGCATGTTAACTTTGCCATTCCGTTTGTATATCATCAAAGTTAGCATTTCAGATATATATTCATGATCAGCAAAGTATATATATTCGTAATCAGCATAAAATTCACGCTATCTTCCGTGTTTCGGGTCTGAACTTAGGTCGAGTTTGAAGATGGACAAAGAGGCTACATTTTTCAACGAATTTGAGGGTTGTTACAGGGTCCTAACCCCCTTTGAAAAAAAAAAACAGTTAATATAGGTCCACATTGTGGTATATCTCCCATACATTACGGAACCACCCTGTATTCGGTATTCTGATGGTTTCCCCAATTTTCTTCACCGGAATTGTCTGAAATTTTGTATTTGAAATTTTGAAGGATATTAAAATTTCGGCTCGGCCGGACTTTTTACTTTTTAGTATCTCTTGTAGCCATTTATTTCAAAAATTTCCAAAAAATAAAGTAATCTCAATATAGATTTTTTGAATACTTATATTGATCTCGCACTAACATTTTATATTTCAATTAAATTTATAGTTATTTTCAAAATATACACTGGACGTTATTGCTTCCTCAGCCTATGGATTGGATGGTCAAACATTTACGAATACAAATTCGGATTTTACAACCTTGGTGGAACATATTTTCATGCCGAATCCCTACAGTCTATTGGATTCTGTCGTTTTGCTGTTTTCCCCCACATTGGGTAATCTTATAAAGTACACGTAAGTAATTGGAAGAGAAAATGGTATTGGAAATACCGTGAAAGATAATTAAGGGGGACCCATTTCATTTTAAAAACACCCAACACCCCTGCGTAAGATTGTGTTAATAATGTCTTCCAAGTGAAACATTCCTGGTGTGAACATTGATAATCCTTATCTTCTGAATATCAGTAATCCTCATCGCCAGCAGTACAGTGAAATACCCACAGAGGAGAAGAGGACAATGATAATTGTCAACATTTCGCCTCTGACAAATGTCCTTGTAATTATTTCCACATTTCCTGGGAAAAAGTGCACATTTATTGTCTTACTTCTTTAAATCTGGGTGGTATTTATTATCTTCCCCACTCTTCATCCTTCACCTACCATTATGCTTAACATATTTATTGTTTTCTTATTATTTCCCTTCATTGCAGTTATTTCCCGAAAAATGTTGCCAACTGGTTACACAGTATAATTATGAATATTTTAAGTTTACGCCTTGACAAAGAAGAAAAAGAAGAAACCAAATGCCTCGAGAAAATCGAACACAGCGATTTTATTCAATGGTTAATTGAAAACAAACGAAAACAAAATGAACCGGTCGATAAGGCAACGATAGTGGGTCATTGTAGTACATTTTTACTTGAAGGTTTCGAAACTTCATCGTCCTTAATGGCATTCGCTTTGTATCAGGTAAGTAAAGGAGAGGGTAAAAAAAAGAAAGGGGAGGCGAATAGTAAAAATGTTTTTGCAGATGTGATGGGTTTGCCATGGAAGTAAGATTTCCAGTTTCTTGCGATATTTTGGTGTGATAAAAGGTATATTGGGTAAATTGTAAGACTATAGAGAGTTAAAATGATACTGGATAACACAACAAATAATTGCAGAAATAAATTCATGAAAGTTGAACTTAAAAACGGAAGACACGTATATCGGCGTTTTGAAAGTTTACATCACAAATTAACCAGAATATAGGGGACCAGTTCTCCACTTTTCTAAATTTGTTGATATTTTCGGAATAGGATTCATTGAAATCCGCGATGTCGTCTGTTTGTCTGTGTGTCTGTCTGTTGTAATCACGCTATCATTCGGACGAATTGAGATAGAAGGATTAAATTTTGCAGACATATATATTTTGCCAGTAGGCAGGTTAAGTTCGTAAATGGGCCATGCAAGTCCACGTTTTCATACAGCTCCCATATAACGGTACCTCCGGATATTCAGTATTTTGATGATTTTAACAACATTATTCACCGGAATTATTTCAAATTCGGTATTTGAAGTTCATATTCCAGTCTAAGACAGAAAATTGTCTGTGCAGGTCCACGTCTTCGTATAGTCTCCACATAATAGTACCTCCCGATATTCGCTATTTTGATGATAGTGCGACATTATTTACCGGAATTGCTTCAAATTTGGTATTTGAAGTTCGTATTGGATACTACAGCCCATGACAGAAAGTTGTCTATACATGCGTATGTCGTATTTGAAGTTCGTAATGGATGCTACAGTCTGTAACAGAAAAGTTTCTATGCAAATCCAGGTTGTGGTATAGCTCTGATATATCGGTACCTCCCTAAGTATGGTATTTTGATGATTTTAGCTACATTATTCACCGTTTATTTCAAGTTTCGAATTTGAATATGGTAATGTCTTATGACAAACAAAGCCTATTCATGTTCACGTCGTAGAGACTCCAATATATTTCAACAGAACTTTTAACGGATTTTATTTTTTCGAAAATTTTTAAATTCGTTCCAAATGGTGGAGGGTATTCAAAGCTCGGCCCGGCCGACCTTACTGCTTTTTAACTTGTTGATATATAGTACTTTGACAATATTATTGATAAGATTACGAGGATTATTTTGGTCAAAAATTTTATCCCTCAAATAAAGCACAAGTGGCCTTTTGGTAGCTTTTAAAAAATTAGGTTTAGAGGTCCTTTAAACGGGATCATAGGCAATAATATTATACAAAATTTATTTTTCACTAGCAAGTACCCGCTATTAATACTTAATACGCATATCCAAAACAATCTATATCTCTCCATCCTAGACACCAACATTAATCCACAATTAGCAACATTTAATATTTTTAGTACACATTTGAAAAAACACCTCCATATCTCAATTCCTGATACTAATAGAGACCTCAATATCAAATTTTGCAAATCCTCGCCCTATCCCTTCACCCAATAACAAATTTAGTACCATTTAGTATTTTTCGTAAAATTATAGTACACATTTCCAAAACCACCTCCATATCTTTACAGCAGACACTAAGGGTGACATCTACAGGGTGAGATAAAAAGAACTGCAACAAAGTCAAACGCCATAATTTTTACATATTTCTTTTTAATATTATTGAATGAAAGCAAAAAAGGTCGGAAATAGCATTAAATTTTAGAATAGTTATTTGATTTTTAGATATTTAATTCGACCTTTATTATATATTGTTAGATTTATTTAAATTGGTCACCTTTGTTACGAATTATGGCCTTCAAACGGGCAATGAAACCGTCACAAGCTGCCCGAATGTTGGTCTGCGGCTTTTTGATCCATTCCCGACGAAGAGCTTGTTTGAGGTGATCGACACTTTGGTATTTTTTAGTGCCAACCTTGCATTCCAAAATACTCCAGACACAATAGTCCAACGAATTGGTATCCGGAGATTTTTGTGGCCATTGTTCGCTGGAAATGAAGCGAGGAACCTCATTTTGTAACCATTCTTTTTGGAATGTCAAAGGTTTGCGGCCAAAATGTTTGCGTGCCCAAGGCTTTAATACACCCTCCAGAATATTTTCGCGATAATATTCGGTATTCATTCTGATGGCACGATTAATACTAGCGGAGAGCGACGATCGGCTATTATTGCGCCCCATTGCTGCCTGAACTCGGTTTATTAAAAAAAAATGAACCAAACTCGATAACATTTGGCAGAGATTTTTCACCAAAATTTTAAGCGTCTGCTTTTAGACTGAATGCATTTCAGTCCATTTGGACTGATATTAGCCATTTGGCGCAAAAAAACCTGAAATCGGAAAAGGTTATATATTGGAGAAAATTCCGGTCCGTTTGGGCTGATATTTGCCATTTGATGCACAATAAACCTGATATCGGATAAAGATGGATATGAAAGCTATATCCTAGTCTGAACCGATCTCGATAAAATTTGACAGAGGTATTTTCGAGCAGTATCTGATGTTCGGTACCAAATATCATTCTTGTGGAGTGCATGTTACGCATGTGAGGGACTTAAAACCAAAAATCGGATGAAACAAATATATGGGAGCTATAGTTATATCAGAACCGATTTTCACAAAATTTGATGTTTTTGCTTCTAGACTGAATTCTCTCGGATGTGCCAAAATTTAGGTCATCTGGACTGATATTGGCCATTTGGTGCACAATTAACCTGGAATTGGTTGAAGATATATATGTAAGCTATATCTAAATTTGAACCGATTTTTACCAATTTTTGGTCCTTGGGCCAAACAAATATTGTTTGGAAAATTTCATCTCAATCGTATAATAAATGTGACCTGCTTTTTGTTCACAAAAATACATGGACTGACGGACGGGCAGACGGACTGTCATTTATAAATCAACTCAGAAAGTGATTCTATACAGATCTCGCCTCCTCGATATCTCCATCCGACTCAGAAAGTGATTCTATGAAGATCTTCAAAAGTAACTGTTGGTCTATCTCGCTTCCTTCTCCATGTCACAAACAAATGCCCAAAGACATATTGCCCTTACCACTGTGTGGTGCAGGGTATAAAAAATAATTTTGTCGCACAGTGTCATGTATCAAGTTTGGACCGAATCTCATACTTCCATCGATATTGCTTCGCGCCTACCAGTTGGCTATAAAAAAAAGACGGACCGCTAGACATAGCCAGATTGACTTCTAATGTCCTAAAAACGATTTTCCTTCAAAGATGATTTGGATCTAACAACTTTATTGCGATAAGGCATATTTTGGCCTTATCAATTGATATATAACCCCTGTAGCCATAAACCTAAGGATACAACTATTGTTCATGACATATTGTTCTTTCTATAAAAAATCTCTTGGCACGGATTTTTATAATTTTGGTAGCAGTATAGGTGGCAGTGCATGATATCCTCCGTTGACTACGACCTTCCATTGTTAACACAAATATTTATGACATTTTTAAAATAAATGAATCAAAACTTAAGTCACATGCTATTAACAGCTCAACGGAAATCCTGCAATTTAAACTTTGTCTAACAAACTGACAAATTGTCCATAAAAATATTCGGAAAATAACATAAAACACTTTTAATACCTCATTATTTGGCAACGAATTATGGCCCTAAGAATATAAAATCCCAAAAATCAGTGCAAACAAGTTTTCAAAAAGAACCATTCTCATACGAAATTGTATGGATTATTTACAAATCCCATCATATTGTCACGCCATCACCCTTTCTCTTATTTATGGTCATAACTTTCCATTAATGTTTCGATTTTGTGTTTTTTTTTCGTTTTTATTTTTCTCTTTTCTTTTTTTTTTTTGGGTTCGCTTTTGCCTCCTCCATTACGCTGCACAACAATTTTTAGTATGCCATAAATCCTTTGGAACAGCAAAAAGTTTTAAACGAAATCGATGAAGTTTTAAAACGCTACGATGGCAAACTATGTTATGAGGCCTTGCAGGAAATGTCCTACTTGGAAGCTACGATGTACGGTGGGTGACATTTATTTTTTTTTTTCTTCGAGCTCACATAAAACCTCTCACTCATACACACACATACACATATAACCAATTTAATTTGATTTAAGTTTCGGAAAGTTATGGAAACTTACCCTGTTAATGGCACTTTTTTATGTGACATTCCTTTCGGTTTTTTTTGGTCTTTTCAGAAACACTTCGCCTACACGCCCCAATGATGGCTTTACTAAAACATTGTACGAAATCCTTTGAATTACCGGCCCAACATCGAGGAGGTCAATCTTTTTGGGTACCAGAGGGTATGGTCTGCATAGTTCCGGTAAAAGCTGTCCACTAGTAAGTCCTATATATTTTTTAACTTATGTTATGTTTTAGTGGATTGTATTCTATATATGTGTGTGTGGTAAACTTTGTTTGTGTGTGTCTGTGCGTTAATAGAAATGGAAAATTTTTGTTGAGAAAAAAAAATGGATGGGAAAAATATGAAAATCCGAAAAGCATGACAAAGTTCGCACAATTGCTCGCATACATGTGTACATGAACATTTTCACCGTACTTAGCAACTAATTTAGGAAAGATAGAGTGTTATTGGTATTGGTGAGGGGAGGAGAAGGGAGAGAGGAAATGGGTAACGGACAGAGCCTGGCTTCCTAGTGAGCACAAAAAATTCCATAATTTTTACATTTAGCCACTTTATGGAAAGTACACCAGCTATGCTAATGTCTTTAAGCATGGAGTGAGGGAAAGAGAGGGAGTGTGAGAGCTTATATCAAATATGAAACAAAAAAAATTGTTTGTTTTTTCTCCATATTGTCCTTTACACCACCGCCTTTCCGCAGGGTGTTTATGATAAAATAAACAATTCGAACTTTTTTCGCTTTCATTTCGGTATTTATAAGTCAAATTTGTGGTTAAATACAAACCGGCACAGATTCTAATGGTGGCAAAAAAATTGTTTCAAAGTGTAATTATTTTAGGAAAGTGTGGGTAAGTCATTTGGGAAACACTAAGTGTGGCCTTCCGAAATCCAAATATAACTTTATGCTATTTAATGCGGCGGTTTAGACGATAGATTTAAGGAAAAACAAGTAAGCAAAGGCTATAGTAGTGCGGGGCCGACCATGTGATATCCTACAACACTACAATATATTATAAGTCCCCTTATGTCCAAATCGGTTAAGAAAGATTTCGTGATTGAAATTATAGAGTCATATAGCCCTTCCCAGATGTTACCCTTAGCTTGTTGTCGTTGGGACTTTTGCCAATATTTATGTACTCCGTCGTGTTGTTAGGTATGCAAGACAATTTCACACGAAAGTTATGATCCATTTTTGAGCTAAATATAATCTAAATTGGCCAATATTTACGCACTTCGTCGTGCAGTAAAATCCAATGGTCATCCAAAATTCTAGAATTTCTTCCCTGTCCTAAACTTTCTTCTCAGGCAAAATTCCGCGTCGATTGGTTTCAATTGTGCGATCAGGAAAATTTTTCTCTTTTTGGTTTATTTGAACCGCTAAATATTTTGCGATTATCTTCAAAAGCAAGAGGCACCTCTGTATCTCCAAGTTTACACTCATCTATATTATTTGCTTGTCTACGATATTTGGCTATATTCTTCAACGAAATCAGCATAAAAAAGACAGAAGTTCGCCTTTTGTTTATTTTTGGATTTTGGATTTTTTTTTTTTTTTGGATTTCGAATGCAAGTTGTTTTCAGCGTTTCGGTAGAATGGACATTTTGTTATACTTTCACACAAAAGTAGTGATCTATTCAACCCGCTACTCTAACTCTAACTTCATGCGAAATTTCGTGTCCTTTGGTTTCTATTTGTGACCTTTGTAACGGCTGCAAAATTAGGAACATTTTTAAATGTTGGTCCATTTCAACCCCTAAATATATTGTGGACATCTTTAAAAATAATAGGCCTAGCCCTTTTGAGCCTAATCTTGATTGTATCGGACGATAATTGCAACCTGTATATAAAAACCCTAACCTGTGCTGTAAGGTGAAAAATATTACAAAATATACACTTCAGTATTATAAGTGAAATTGAAAAAATCGCATGCGATAAAAAATATGAAAAAAAAAAAAAAATGTCACAAAATACTACAAAATCTATTTTTACATCATTATATGCATATTTTTATGCGATTTATTTAAATTTTATTCTTTAATGTCAAGGGGGCATTCTGAATTGACAAAATTTGTCAAAATCGGTCCAGCCATTCGTGAGATATTGTAGCTAACACCCCATTCCTTTGTATATATACATAGTATAAATTTGGCTATATATATCTGATATATTTACTATCGGCATCAATGTTACGGTCAGAATTGACCTGTTCGTCTCTTTGTGACTTCGCCGGGATTAAAAATATTAGCGATTTAATGGGAAATTTGACTTTTATTTAACACAAATGTTATTGTCTATTTTACCCACTAAATATTACCCTGGCTCTAGCCCCACCTCCATTCTAAATTTCGTGAAGATCGGGCCATAATTGCGACCTGTAGAGTGATTACAAATTATAATAAAAAATATGTATCTTTTCATACCCTACAATACTATGTGTTTGGGGTATTATAAGTTTGATTGTGGCAAAAATTATGTAAGACCGCGAAATATTGGTCCAAGACATAGGCAATTACATATGGATCTTCCCATCTCGTCAAACTGAGTCGATCTAGGTATGTATGCCGGTCAGTCTGTTTGAAATTGTTCTAGAGGTCACAACTGTAGACCAATCTACTCGGGATCTTGAATGGGGCTGGAGTTTAGGTCTGGGCAGAAGCCTAACAAGTTTGATGCTCATCGAATAATATTAAGCGGATGAAATAGACCATAACTTTTATATAAACTAATTAAAAAGTATCAGTCTGTTTTGCTGACAGATTTATACCCTCAGCCAATGTTCGATTGATTACATATATGTTGACTTCTGTTATGGTTTTTCATATTCTTGACCTTCTATGGAGTAGGTTCCGAAGGAATGTACCAAAATAGTCCATTTGGTATTGGACCTAATTAAATATGATATAAATATTGCGACGTGTCAGGTTTGGACTATATCGACTGCTTCCTTCACTTTATGTGAGATATGTGGTAATTTTTAAAATATGTTTATATCTGCGTGAGGCACTGGATATAGTCGACCGAAGAATTCCATTTGCATACTTCATCTAATAAAAATAAAAGTATTGGTATAGGCAAAGTACAAGAAAATCGGACATTTATATCCAATTGTATGCGAAATCATAAATTTCAAATTCATATCAGATTTCTGGTAGAGATAAAATATTTAGATAAAATATTTAAATAATTTAGATATATAATGACACAATCTTGAATCCTATGTGGGGGAGGTACCAGAAGAAATGGTTGTGTTTACGGAAATATTGAGATGCACCCAGTTTGAATGGAATCGGATGTTAATTTCGCGTTTTATAGGCATAATGGATGTTTAATGTGTTGACCTTTTGTGGGGGAAGTACCAGAAAGATTGGACCGATATATCCCATCTTCACACCAGATCTTGGGTCAATAAAAATATTGTGATGTGTGTAATTTAAAGAGAATCGGATGCTTATTTCGGTTTTTGTGATCGTTTCGTTTATTCAAAACTTTAACACTTTGTGGGAGGGATACCAGAAGGAAAGGGCCTATCTCTACAATTTTTATAAGAGAGAGAGAGAGAGAGAGAGAGAGAGAGATGTACCAAGTTTGTCAGAGGTTAATATCGCGTTTTATGAGCTTCATGGATATTAAAAATTTTGACCAGAAGAAGTGGACAGATATATCACATCTGCAAACTAGATCTTGTGTTAGTAGAAATAATGGGATGTGTGAAATAAGAAGAGTACCGGATGATTATTTAGGATCTTATAATCGTTTTGGTTATCTAAAATTTTGAGCTGGTGCCGATATATTCCATCTTCGGACCAGATCTTGGATTAAAAAAAATATTGTGGTGTGTGCAATTTTAAGACAATCGGACTTTTACATTACATTTTATATGAGTTATAACTATTCGAAATGTTTATCCTTTGTGGGGGAGGTACCTGATGGAGTGGACCGTTGTTGTTAATTTTTATGAGAGTTATAATTATTCAAAATTTTGATCCTTTGTGGGGGAGGTAACGATCTTCCAGTGATAGGAATATTGGGATGTACCGCTTTTGAAAGGAATCATGATATACAAAATTCTGACCCGTTGTGGAGAGGTACCAGCAGGAGAAAACCGATATATTCCACCTTCACGCAGGATCTTGTGTTAATAAAAATATTGGCATGTATGAAATTTGAAGACCATTGGACTCGTATTTTACACTTTATAAGAGGTATAATTATTCAAAATGTTGATCCTTTGTGGGGGAGAGACTTTATGGAGTGGGCCGATATTGTCCATTTTAACACCTCTCATTGACAAAAATATTAGCATTTACAACGTTAGCTCAAAATCTTAAGGTACCATTTCTTTCCATGAGGAATATAATTTTCTTTGAAAATATCGGGTCGATGTTACCCATCTCCGAACTACATTAAAGTTTGTCAATAATACTATGATATTCGAGAGTTAACATGAACACCAACCAGTCGGACATACGGACGGACAACCCTAGATCGACTCCAAATTATCTGAAACGAATTTGTGGCAAAGAGAACTAAGTTTTAAAACCGTGATTTCGATCGGGCAAGTTTTGGCCGTAGCAAATGATATTTGTATACAAAGTTTACCACCTCTGATTGGTATACAATGGATTTATATGTGTAACAAGCATGGACCAGGGACTTCGTCAGCGAAAATTCCTCTTTTGATTTAAGATTTGATACTATTATGTATTTTTCGTACAAATATAGAACGCATTTCTAAAGCACCGCTAAATCTCAAACACAGATTCCATCAGTAATCTAAATATCAAATTTCAGAATTGTATATCTACCCCTTCACCCAGTACTAAACTTAGTACTATTTGGTACTTTTCGAACAGTTGAAGTAACATATCCAAACCACCACCAAATCTCAAATACAGATAGCATCAGTAATCTAAATATCAAATTTCAAGCCCAATCTGTTCACACAATATCACATTAAGAAAATTCACCCCAAAACTAAACTGTTCTATATTTAGTACAATTTTATACATTTTGCACACTTAGTACACTTTTCCAAATCTACCTTCATATATCAATTTTACCTTTCAACCTTGATTCTTATATCAAATTTCAAGTTTATAGCTTTATCCGTTCACGTAACCGTTTTAGAAGTTTAGTACAATTTTAGAACTTTTCTCAACCTTAAAGTTCTAATTAAAAAAAAAACCCTTGTTTCGT